ACCCAATGATCCTAGAATAGTGGTTACTACTACTTTAAATCTGGCCTTTTCTTCCATTTTTGTGCGAAATCCTATTTCTAAAGCTCTAAAGTTTTTACTTATGGCTCACCTACAAGGGGTGTGGTCGTCTGGCAGATTCAACAACAATGGTATTCTAAATTTACTGCCATGCAGACTTCACCTCAACGTGCTGAGCTGGCTGCTGTGATTTTAGCTTTACAATTGTTCAATGACCAACCTATTAACTTGATTGTTGATACTCAATATGTGTATTTAGCTATGCAATCTCTTCTCTTTTCTTATTGTGCTCTCTCTTTGGATAAGAATTTGTTATCCTTGTTTTTATCTTTAAAGAATAGTTTGGAAACTCGCTTGTATTCTTTGTATGTAGAACACATTCGGAGTCATACTCCCTTTACTAATGCCTTGACTGAAGGAAATCAGAAGGCAGATGAATCCTTAAAGGATGTTGCGTCTTTGTTTGTTGATCCTGTTGATAGCCATTCTTATTTTCATCAAAATGCCAAATCGCCTGCAAAGCAATTTAAAATTTCATTATCTCAAGCTCGGGATATTGTCCATGCTTGTCCAGCTTGTCAGCAACTGGCAGTTCCCTTTCCAGTGGGTGTCAACCCACGAGGAACCCAAGCTAATCAAATTTGGCAAATGGATGTAACTCAATTTTCAACCTTTAAGCCATACTGTTATCTTCATACATCTATTGACACTTATTCACATTTCCTTTGGGTTACAGCTTCAAAACATGAATGTACTTCAGATGTTATTTCTCATTGCCTATCCTCTTTTGCTGTAATGGGTTGGCCTTCTCAGTTGAAAACTGACAATGGCCCAGCTTATATTAGTAAGGAATTTCAAACCTTTTGTCAGAAATGGAATATTACTTTAGTGCATAGAATTCCTTACAACTCTCAGGGTCAAGCTATAGTTGAGCGAGCTCATCGTACTTTTAAGGCATTGCTTCAGAAACAATTACAAACTGAGTCTGGCCCTTACCATCTGCAAAAGATTCAAAATCTCATTGCTGTAGCATTATATACTTGGAATTATTTAACTTTTTTAGATTCTCTTGCAGACTCACCTGTTAATTTACATTTTCGAACTACTGAATCTTTAGCAAGGCCTTTGGTAAAGTATCGCCAAGCTCCAGATCCAACCTGGAAAGGCCCTATACCACTGATCACCTGGGGTCGCGGTTACGTTGCCGTGGAAGATCCTTCTACTGGACAAGCAGTGTGGCTTCCAGCGCGCTGTGTTCGTCCGTATCATGGCATGGCATCAGGGCCTTCGCAACCCGATTCCAGGTTTCAATCTTCATCTGAACACGGAAGTCTGTCTTCCAAGGTCGAAGTGCCCGCAACCCATCACTTGGGGCCAGGTTAAATCTACTACATATCAAGCTCAACAACAACTGCAACAGGCCTCATTACCTCAGACTCCTGAAAATCTTGTTGCTGCTGTTTTTGCTATTATTACTGCTAATTCTGTTACAATTTTACTTTGTATTTTCTTGTTTATGGTTAATGGTGTTTCTGCTCAAAATGACACTTCTGTGGTTCATCTTAACCCTAATTTGTGGGTTTGTCATGCCCAATACATGTTTATGACCCATGGCACAAATATTACTTTATACTATGAGCCCCCAACGGCATTTGGTCAAATTTCTTTTACCCCTAACTTGATCATGTCTTCTACATTTATTGTCTCACAACTACAATCTATTTCATACTCCTGGCTATTTTCTAAACCCCCTATGCAATTGAATTCTGTCCGTTGGCATTACTTGAAAGTTAGTCAATTTACAAGGGGTCTGTGTTTCTGTTGTCACGCTAAACACACTTGGCTTCATAATTGGTCTGATTATGATGCTGCTCAGCACATATTAAAAAAGCTAGGGAATTATAGTTATTGTTCTAACTACTATTGGTTGTCAGGTACCTTTAATTCTTCTTTGTATGGACTTAATATAGCTCCTGATATGTATCCTGACAATTTTCCTATTTTTAATGCCTCTGATCTAATACAGGATCGATATGTGTTGGTTGGCAGATTAAAGATCCTAATATGTGATTCTTTTTTGATAAATATGCTACTAATGTTCATCCTCAGAAATTTTCATTCTTTGAATAAAACTATTGAGGATGAGATTGCCAATTTACAATCATACATTCAAAATAATATCCATGCTCAGTACTCACCTTTTGAGTGGCTAACCAATTGGCTCCCTGATTGGTCCTGGCTCAGACAGTTTTTCCTTTATGTTATTATTATTATTGTATTAATTGTAACCTGATGTTTTATTCAATGTATTCCAAATTTATTTGCATTGTTTCGTCCTGCTTCCCCCTCTCTTACTCCTTTACAATTGCGATACATTCATAAATCTTTGAATCCTCCATTAAAAATAAAAAACGAGGATATGTAGAATTGTAATTGCAGGAATGTCTTTATCTTGGATGGCAAACCTCAGAGAAAAGAATGTTTCCAAGCAAATACAACTCAGGCAAACAAAGTTACTCATCTAAAGGAGGATTAGAGAGAGGAAGTAAACATATGTTGGACTTTGACTAGAGATCATTAATTGTGTTAGTTACTATGCTGAACAATAACGAAAGTCAAGCAGAAACCAAAGTTAACCAATGTTGGAGGATAACTAAAAATGTGTATAAATGCAAGACTAGACTCCAATAAAGTTCATCATGATTCAGTTGATCATGATCAAACACCTCGACTGCCTTGTCATTACAACAACTAAGTTCAAATTTGGAAAGAATACATTTTTAGTTTAGAATCAACAGAGAAGAAACATTTATTTCCCATGTTGAACAGTTTGAGATATCAATCTTTTAATCTTCTAATTGTTTTATACTGTTGTTTATGACATTGTAAGCTGCTCAAAGTCACTTGATAGACAGAGGCATATAAATTTAATAAATAAGTAAATAAATAAGTAAAAGGAGCTCATTAATGAAGATATCCTTCCCATTTATAGCAATGCTGCAATGGACTGAACTGCAGTGCTGAATGGATTCTAAAATCCTTTAGAATTTTAATAATTGAAATTAGTACTTTAAACTGTTGTAACCCCTCCCTCCTGAAAACCTGGCAATAGTGTTGCTTTTTTTTAGCAAAACCTTTTTCTAATATCATGCATCTGCTACCAATACTAGCTCTTTTGCATCAGTTTGCATCAGGAGAGTAAGGTAGCACTAAACCTAAGCCATAAATTCATGTTATCCTGAACCAAGATTCACTAAAATAAAATCTCAAGGAAGAATACCAATCCTAATTTAAAGTTCTTTCTAATGCCAATAACAATTTTTAAACCTGAGGGTTACATCTAAACAACTTGTGACACAGGAGAATTCTAAGCCTAACCTTAAGCATAAAGCTTTACTCTAAAGCTAGCCTTCAAAGTATTTTAACTAGAAATCTCAAACAAGCTAAAACAAGCACTAAGCATAAAAAGTAGTCCTAAGCAAACTATAATACTAACATTAGCCTACAAACTCAAGAAAGCCTGATGCTAACCAGGGGTGGGATTCTACTGGTTCAGACTAGTTTTATAGAACTGGTTGTTATGATTCTGTGGAGAACTGGCAAATCGTACCCCTGCCCTTCGCCTCCCCTCTCTGCCTGTCCTTCCCCTCCCCACCCAGCCAGCCCTTATCACGCATGTGTGATATCACGTGCATACCTGACATTGCTGACTGCATTCTCCCCCGACTAGTTAATCCTTAAGATATTCCACCCCCCCATCCTGACGATCAGCTGTTCCGATAATCATCTGTCTTACTGCTTCGCTCAAGAGGCTTCCCTGAGACCCAGGAGAAAAAAGAGGTGCGGTGGGGGAAACAGGGTGGGTGGGTGCTGCATGGGGCCCTCCCACGTTCCATTTTTTGCTTTCCTGGGCCCCAGGGAAGCCTTCTGGGAGCAAAAACGCCCTCCCCCCAGGAGGGTTCCCTGAGGCCCAGGAGGCAAAAAAAAACACCAGATGGGGGTTTTTCTGCAAAAAGCCACACCCACCCAGTCACACGGCCATGCCCATCTAACCACGCCCACAGAACTGGTTGTTAAAAAATTTGAATCCCAACCCTGATGCTAACATTGCCTAATTCTATTAGGAAATTTTAACCCAAAGCCTGCAGTTTCAAATTGTGTGTTGGGGCACTCCATCAGCTACTGCAAGATCATATTTTGTAAAATGTAAAATGTTTTTTTGTGATGTTCATTTACAAAGCTGGGCTTTGCAACATCAATTTCAGTGGTGGGATTCAATTTTTTAAACTACCGGTTCTGTAGAGGTGGCTTGGTTGGCACGGCAGAGGAAGGATACTGTAAAATATCCAGTCAGAGGTGTATTTGCCGGTTCTCTGAACTACTCAAAATTTCTGCTACCGGTTCTCCAGAACTGGTCAGAACCTGCTGATCAATTGTGACATATCTTTCTGAGAAAGTTCGGGAACTGAGAAAGTTTGGGATCCTGTACCATAAGCATTACAAATTAAAATTAGTTGTATCACAAAAGAGTATAATTGCTTAAAAGTCTCAGGAAGCCTAATCAATTCCAACAGATATTTTAAATCCTAAACTTAAAACATGAATTCAAAAGCATGCTCCAGTCTAATTTAAGACTAATGGTGTGTATGTTTAAGTGTATAAAGGCAGAACTCTCGTTGCTCCAAATATTTGGCTAATGCTGGTGCCAAGTCATGTGGGCAGTATCAGAGAAAAGTTTGATAATATTTAGTTACATGCCCTTAATTTGTGTAAAAATAGCTAAACATTTTCACAAACAAAAAACCATTACATTATAAAAAAGCAGCCAAAGATTTTCACAAACAAAAAAGTTCATTATTCTACAGAGAACAAAAATATCACTCTGGCCAAGCTGCATTTACACTTTATCATCCATGTTTTCTATAGTTGCGTTCACTTCAGGTTGATTGCCTTTCCCCACCGTATCATGCACATAGAAATACCTTTCCAGCAGTTTTTCCATCTGGGGTCTCCTTTCTCCCAGGTAGGATAAAGCTTATCATTCCAGTTATTATGATCAGAATACCAGTGATTTAGCCTGTGGTGGTATATGTTATGAGAATATGCTTTTCCATGAGTCATCACATCTCGAAATCCTACACAGAAAAATTCAAACATCAACAAAGTTAAGAATTTATTTGTTTTATACACATGTAAAGAAGGTTATTACCCATGTTCATGTTGAGGCACATCAACTCATAAAATATTTCTATCGTCTTTTTAGAGTTGCCAACAGAAAGGGAGGGGGAGCAGTGCGGCAGCTTGGAAATTGAAAGTGCATTCCATAAATAGTTTTCAAAGATAGTAACTAATTGACGGAAGTTTCTGCCATGCAAAATTTTAACTGGAGAACATGATTGATGATTCTTAGCTATGGATGTGTATGTACCATTGGAGAATTATGATACACCCAGCGGGTGGGGGAAACCAGGGTTAAGGGTGACAATGAATTGACTTGGCTACATCCAGGCAGTGCCGGACATGTTAATTCCCAATAAATCCTTTTGAAGTTTTGGAAGTTTGGCTCGAGACTCAAAATTTAATTAGGGTAACTGCCGGAATCCTGACAGCTAGCCGATTCTGAGACACTGGAATCCTGACAGCACCCTCATTCAGAAAACGGTAAAAGTAACTTTTTTCGGAGTTATGCAATTCTGCCTTTGGATAGGAGATGCCAAAAATCACCTTCTGCCCCAGCTTGCTTTACCCCTGACCATACTACATTGAGGGCAATATGCAATCCTGAAATATGGTTACATTGTGCCAATCCCTTCTTCACAGGATTTTAGTACTCCTATTCACTAAGTATTTAATCATGAATACAACTGCACTAATTTGAAAATATAACCTATATCTAGGTGTACTGATGAAAATCTGTTCACTCTCCACAATCACATTATATATAGTGCTTTGAAGGATCTTTAAAGCATATCCCATTTTGACCAATAGACCAATAGTGCCACAGAAGATTATTTTCTTCTTTTTAATTGTCATTAAACGCTGAGCTTGTCTATCAGAAAGGTTGGCAGTTTGGCGTTCTAATCCCTAGCGCTGCGTAATGGAGTGAGCTCCCCTCACTTGTCCCAGATTCTGCCAACCTAGCAGTTCAAAAACATGTAAAAATGCAAGTAGAAAAATAGGGACCACTTTGATGGGAAGGTAGCAGCGTTCCGTGTGCCTTCGACATTTAGTTATGCCGACCACATGACCACAGAGATGTCTTCATACAACACTGGCTCTTTCACTTTATAACAGAATGAGCACTGCCCCCTAGAGCCGGAAATGACTAGCACGTATATGCAAGGGGAACCTTTACCTTTACTAATATTCAAACATTTGAATTAACATTTATTTTTAAAAATTATTACTTTGTGCCATTATACGAGGGTTAATTAAAAAGTAATGCTTCCAATTTCACTAACAGATGCCAAGATGAATGCGTTAGAAGATCTGGCATGTTGAACATCTGTTCTTTCACTTCAGTCAATGGAAAGATGCTGTGAAAAAAGGTTGTGCTTGTGTTGCTTGTATGCTTTAAGCAACATCCTGCAATTGAAGTTTTGACGCCTGAAGTTTTGACGCCTCCAACTGAAATGCAGTGCAAATGCAGATTAAGGCAATTACTGTTTTTGATGTAACTACTCTGTGTCACTTTTATACTAAGTGTCTCTCACACACAAAAACATAAAGACGGTGAGTTGGAGATAATTGTTTTGTGTAATTAAGAACAAAATATATAATTTATAAATGCAACTAAAGAGTTTCACTTTAGACAAATGCTGATTAAAGAAAACTAATATCAATTAAACTACAATTAAGCTTGGCACTTAGGAGGAGCATGTGGGTCACATTACTGATGTTTTTTAATATCAGAAGTTTTGTGCCATATGAGTTCCTTGCATGCTGATGGCAGAGATTAAAGTTTCAAGAGTTTAAATTTACCAACAATTTTCATACTAGGAAAGGAGGGGAGGGTTTTCTTCACAGCCTCATGATAGCTAACCAAACTTGGGCTCGTCATAATTATCTAGAAATATTACCAAACCTATGCCTCAGCAGGAATCTCAACAACTTTAAGAGGTGTGGAAGTCCAACTCCCAAATTTCCCCAGTGTGCAAGCAATTCTCCCTCCCCACCAAATCTTAGAGTTCTAACATTTTGCATATAACAGCCCTTCATGTAACGAAATTGTCAAGCTCTTATATTATTCATAGATAAATAGTTTTTTAAAAAGAGTGCTCTTACTTTTATTGAAATATAGGATGTTTCATAAAATGGTTTTGTTTAAGCCTCAATAAGGAGAAAATAAGACTTTTTTTTTCTTATTATAAAAGTGTTGCAGTAAAATAAAAACTCATATGTCAGAATACACAAATTCTTTCCAGATGAAGAAAGGCTTAATTCATTCAACATGGCAAAATTAAGGTTATGTTGATGAATGTCAGAATTTTCCCTGACTTATTTTATTCAAAATATTTTTCATATACCATGTCCTGCATTCACCTTTTCCACAACCTTCCCTAAGAATGGGAAGCTGGAAACTGGATAAAAATTATCCAGATAGGTGGGATCCAGTGATGGTTTTTTTAAGGGGGAGGTGAACCCAGGTTTGCGTAAAAGCATCTGGAAATGTCCCCTCCTCTCATGACATATTAATCATGTCTGAACCTACCTGCTAGCCACCATCCTGAAGGCTTTCACCATCCAGAAGGAACAAGGATCTAGTTGACAGGTGGTGGCACTGACAACATCAAGAGCCCTGCCCACTTCATCGGGGCCAACTGAATCAAACTGTTCCCAAATAACAGGGCATCTCACATGGACTATCTCCATGCATGGAGTCTAACTGGAAACGAATCTGGCCGACTTTGTTCATCAAGTGCTGAACAAATTCTTCTGCCTGCCCTGCAAAAGATTGCCTGAGCCCCTGACCTAGGAGGGAATGGATGACCCAAAACAGGGCCTCCAAGTGGCACTCTGAGGATGCAATAAGAGCAGAGAAATACTGGTGTTTCACCACTCTTACTGCCACGAGGTAGGTCTTAATAGTAGTTCTAAGTCATGCCCCATCAGAGTCATCCCTTCCAGCGGCGCTCTACGTCTCTCTTGGCCCTTTTCAGAACCTGTAGCTCCTCTGTAAACCAGGGGGAGGGTTGGAAGCAATGAGTCAAGAGAAACCTGTCCAAAGCCATGGCTGCCACTGCAGTTTCAGCAGGACCGTGCAGCAACATTTCCAGATATCCCCCCAGTTCCCATCAGGGTCTATGAGTCACAGGGGTCAGACCATCCAAATGGGTTTAGCCTCCCTTTGGTGGGGGCCAGCATAGGAGAGCCTCATGGATTTCAGGGTGTGATATGACCATGATAAGGGGGATAATCTTACATTCCCCTCACCAGGTCACTTTGCCATTGCTCTGACAAAAACAAACAAACTCAAGACTGGCATGTGACCACTGTTTCGTGTCAGTCCAGATAATCTGGGATGGCTGCCATGGTGGCCATGAACTCCTGGGCTGCTTCTGAGGCTGCACCAGATTGAAGTCACCCAGAACCATAAGTCTGGGGAGCTTCAGCCCTGAGATGGTCTCCAGCAGTTCAGGCAAGGAGGTTGCTGCACAACAGAGAGGCTGGTATATTAGCAACAATCCCCTCTGATCTCATGAACCCGATTTTAGGAACAAGGTCTCATAACCAGAGCTCTGTGGAGCAAGGATCCTGAAAATCAATAAAGACTTTCTGATAACTACTGCCACTCCACCTCCCCTGCTTTGGGATCTTGGCTGATGCCAAACCTGAAATCCGGCTGGACACATCTCTGGGAGGGAAAACCTTCACTTCCAGTCTCAATAATGCATGCCAGGTTGGCTCGCTCCTCTTCAATAAGATCTTGAACAACCTGGTCATACTTGCATCATATCTCATACAAAGGAAGGCAAATCAAGATGCTTGCAGGTGAAGTTGACTCCTCCTATGAGCTTGTCAGCTGTCCAAATAAGCTACTGTTAAAGGAAAAAGGAGGTGGGCTTCTGTGCTATGTCAAGTCGTGCTTCCTGGAAAAGCATGTGAAATCAGCAATCTGGATAAGCCTTCAGATGAGCCCTGCTACAGCTCAGTATCAGCCTTAGCTAGAGTACCTGTAAGATGTCTATTTCTGGCTTTAGCAGGACAACTAGGTCTTGCTGATATTCTCTTATGAGTGAAAATAGGAGTTGGCTGAGAATAGCTCAAGTGTGCAGATTGCTACTTTGAAAGAATCAGAAAATGAAAATGTTCTTCATATAATCCGGACAAAATTTTAGCTTTTGGAGATTAATACTGTAAATGGAAAGTACACAGATTTCCATAAATATTTCTAGGGTTTCTGGAATGCATTCAGCCCATACATTTCTGGGCCAGACTCATGGTTATGAGGAAATGTGGTTTGAGGGTTAATTTGAAGAAGGCAGCATATATGACCTCAGATATGTCCTTAAGAGAGTAAAACATGTCAGATGATAATGCAAAAACAATGCCCCCATTACTTTTAACAGGAGTTAATAACTGCTTTTGGGGGAAGAAATTAAAAGTAAAGAAGAGGTCCAAGAATATGATTAACTCTTCCCTTTGATGTTTTTCCATTTCTTAAGTAATTTCTTAACCAGTAAAATTCAGAGTGCATGCTTGTCTTCCCAAAAAGTATTTCAAAGATGTAATGTGGCAAACTGTAATTTTTATGCAGTTTTGCATCTTAAAAATTTCCTTTGTCAAAGTGACCCGGCTTTGAAAATGTTTCACCATTATTTCTTGTACTGTGTAAAGTATTAAGAAGTATCTTAGTTTCTAAAGATCATGAAAGTATGGTGTTTTACTAATGCACTGCCAGGAAAAGAGGTAGCCATACAGTTTGAGACAGAGTAAGTTCTTGCAAGAGACAATATGATCCCAAAAGAAACACAGTTTTTGTGAGTAGTTATCTCTAGGAAAAATAAATAATTTGCCATACGTACATTCTTGGTCAGAGGTGTTTAATATGTCTGCAACTGGTACGATTACCATTACATATTCAGTTATGGTGAAGTGTCAGGATGCATAGAGAATGCAGCTTTGCAGAACACCACATGTATTCTGTAACATAGGATTCGTTTTGCTTCTCTTTTCTATTTCTCATTGAAAATACCTAACATAGAACACAACTCTCACTCTGAATAAACCAGGAATGAACAAAATATAAATATATATCTGTTTTACACATAGGACTTTAATATAAAAGCTAAAGGATGCTGAGAAGAAACTGTTTTGGACCATTTGTTCCAACATCTTATAACCTCTTACAGGTTTCCTCTGAAATGTCCTTCCTGATCTTAATAAGATCTTCTTCAACATAAACAAGTGTGTAGAATTATAGACCATCTTGTAGTGCAGTACAGTAGAAACAGAACAAAATTTTTACACTTCCTTTTCTTTAAATTTGGAGAATCTCTGCATTCTGAAGCAGAATCCCTCATTCCCAAATTGCACTTGATTCCTCCAAAGTTGTTTTAGAAGTGTAAATTAAGGGCAAACTTGCCATCATTTCTATATCTGATTCTCCCACTCAGAATTGGCAATTCTACAGCCAGTTTTCATATGGAGAAGAAAAAAGCAGAAAAAGCAAGGAACTCACGTTTGGAGGCTGTAGCACTCAGAACATGTTCACCAACAAGCAGGTATCCAAGAAGGAAGAATAGGCAAGTCCACTTCATCCTGAATAGATAGAGAAAGACACACACACTACAGAACTTGTATAACTTGACTTGATGTTCCTCTCAACTCTTCAAAGTAAGACTGGGATAAAATTTCCCTGTTCTCCTGCTCTCTTTGGTTAAATTAAGATCTTGGGGCTCATCATGTGATGGGCCTGGATTAAGAAGAAATGCATGATTTTGTTTTTTTCTGCCTCCCTCCCTCCCCCTGCAGCTCATGTGCTTATGAATCATTCCTCTCACTTTTAATATTCACTAAGGTTTTTATGCAACTCTGTTTAGCACTTTTGCCTTTCAGGAATTTCTGGTGCATGTTCGCACCTTTAACAGAGAAGCCATAATCCTGTATTGTCTGCTAATATTTTAATTCTTACAGTGATTCAAAGATGGACAGGTTCTACACTTTCCAAGAATGGTGTCTACAGAAAAGAGAGTAGCTGAGAATTACATGTGCTTCCAAGAGTTCTGTAACAGTGAAGTCAGGACTATCAAGGTAGGCTTTCATATTCCAGGACCAAATGCAATTCAAGCATATTATATATCAGTCCCATAGTAGAGCAGGAAAACTATGTTGGCCCTAGTTTTGCAGCTTGTAGAATCTTCCCTAAGGCAAGCAGGACATGAATCAAGCATTTGTAGTGGGGCAAAGGATTTGACAGATGAAAACGAGTGCCTTAAAGCTTAACGTTCCATTCGAAATTTTGAAAACTGATTCTGATTTTTTGTGTGTGTGTGTGGAATGCAGCTACTAAATAAGCCATGGAAATGTGAAGGAGATCCTCAAACAAAGTCACACACCCTTGCCCTTGAACATCAATTATCGAAGTCTGGTCTGAGGATCCCTCTGGGTCCCAGCCATTACAGGGAACTGTAAAGTCAAATATATATTTTAACATTTCTCAGTTTTATTTTCTAATATAATAAATACAGATAGATGTAACTCACATAAACCAAAGTTCTTTGGAGTCTTCAATCATTTTCAAGAATGTAAAAGGATCCTTTGAACAAAATGTTTTGAGAATTGCTACCCGAGAGAAACAAACCATTAGAATATGAATTGGTCTTTGTGTTCCTCCCATTTTCATGTGTGCGTTCCCTTTCTCAGTGTCTCACCTATTTTTTTTAGAAACAGATGTTATTTTCATTTCATCTAAAAAGGTCTAAAAGCTTAAGTAGGCCGCCGATTTCCCTACTGTACCTAGCTAAATGCCATACTAGATTCAAGGTCACTAAACATGACACAAAATTGTGAGACACCCCTTTAACTAACTCTAATTTTAATCTGCTAACCCCAACCTGAAACAAGAACTCTTTATTCAACCTTTATCATGATGCTTTTAAAAAAACATTCTCAGACAGGAAACGCTTTTAAAGGTTTAATAGTTAAGTGTTGTAACTAGAAATCATCATTAGCTAGTGGCATAAATTGGGGAGGGGCATATATTACCTAAGAATAGGGAAAAAAATGTGGTGGCATGTTACAAATTTGAAACTATACACGGCCAGCTGTTTCCTATGCTCTCCCTACATAAAGCATACTTTCTTCCAGAGTTTAGATGGCGTTCACATGATTGCCAAGTGACTCATTCTTTTACCCTGGGAATCATCCAGTCTATTATCCTGTGTGTTGAATTTTAATTCCCATCAGCTGACAGCTGGCACAGGCAAAGCCTGCTGGGTTAATTCTGAGAATCCAACTTATCAGATGTTGGAAGTTATAACCCATCCCTCTCCTAGAAAAATGAAATATTTTAGGATATACTAAAAAGGCAGAATATTTCCCCTAAAAGAGAAGTAGAATCTCAGAGAGACAGAAACTCACCTCCCCACCTTTGTCAATGAGCCATTAAGGCCTGAGCCAATCTATTCTACATAACAAAGATCTACCTCCTCCAGGTAGAGGCATAATAGGAATTGCTCAAAGCCCTTTCATTACATCATCATCCAGCAAGGCTCAACCAAGCCTGGGATTCAGGACAGCCTTCAGAGTTACCCCTGCATAGTCCCATGGGAGTCTGACAACCAATCAGAATACCAACTCAAATTCAAATCCCAACAGAGGGCATAAAACTCAGGCACGCTCAGCATCTCTGCCCTTTTTTTCACTCAGGAGCTCCAAGTCATGTGATCCTGTCCACCATTAAACTATCTGCATGTTTCCAGTGTCTTTTCCCCCCACTTGGAACTGAACCCAGAAGGATATTTTCTTCCAACACAGAAGACTATTAGATCGAAGAAGGCTAAACGTTACAGCTCTTTCTTCACTGCCTTTGAATGTCATCTGTCACATGGTACACTCTACTAGCTTAACTATTAAAGACAATAGGCCTTCTCTTCCCAAAGAAGAGAAGGAAATTGGGCTCCTTTTATAAGTTAACAACAACAAGTCCTGTCATGCGGGAGCAAAATATGAGTCAACATCACAGCTTGACACAGTTAAATTTGATTAGCAAAGGTTTTCTTCTACCCCATCTCTGAGAATAACCTTGAAATAAGGTATCTGTCTTTCTGAATAAAACAAGTCAATCTTGTGTCACCTACTTCATTACCAAATCATTTGTTACCAAATATCCAGCTGAGCCCTCTACAACTTGTGTCCTCTCCAAATATTCCCAACATGCATCAGGCTTCATGCTGGACAACACATAAAGTATGTCGCCACACAAATTATATAAATTGAATTGCATAAATATTATTAAAATGTTTTGAAAGATGCTTATAGCTGAGAAACAGTTGATGCAGGGCGTTTACAAGATTTTTAGAGGTTCAGAGATAATATATGACTCTTCTCTTCAGTGTTGGAATTAAAAAAACATTCATACAATCATATATCTTAGTATTTCAATATTTCTATTTCAAGCACTGGAGTATTTAATTGCACAGCCATAGCAACTCTTCGTTATAATTAGAAGCCAAACTTCAGTCACAAGGTTTCAGGATCCAATCTGTGTTGGTCACGGGACCAGAGATTTTTTCTTCCAAGCTTTCAGATTGTCATACCCCACATCCTCAGGAACTTCTCTGTGTGCTTTGGACTGTCCTGTTATGATGTTTATATGATGCCTGTTGTGTGAAGGTTTTAAGATATAGATTGGGGTATTGATGGCTGCTATTAAGTTGTTGCTGTTGTTTCCTTGTGCTGCCCAGCCTTCTCCTTCTAAGTACTTGATAAAGTGGGGGTAAATCAACACACACACTGACAAGCGGCCTGTTTCCCAGGCTTCAATCACTTCCATGGCTGTTTTTGTGCCTGCTCGTCCAACAATCTCAGTATCTGCAGATTTGAATGTATGTCCTTGGGTATTGCAATATGAGGCTACCAAGAAAGGCTATGATCAGAGGATGTGATCGAAAGGAATTACATAACCAACAAGCAATCAGAGAAAGATGACAGGAATATGCAGAATAATTTTACACAAATGAAAAAGAGGCTGTAAGAGGAGAGAAGCTCACCTACCAGAAATGGAACCAGATCCCTTGGAGGAGGAAGTAGTGTGAGCATTTCAACTAGTTGCCTAACTGCAAAGTCCCAGAAGTTGATGGAATTCCTGCAGAGTTGCCGAAACCAGTGCCATTGAAAGCACTGGCAGTGCTTTGCCAAAGGTCACAAAAGAGGATCACATGACCCTGGGACACCTCAACCATCAATCATACATGCCGGTTGTCAAACAGCCAAATCTTGATCATGAACATGGGGATGCTGCAATGGTTGATCCCTAAACGGATGCTTGCAAGCCGAGAACTACCTGTATCTGGTAAAAACAGATATTTAATAGAAGAAATATTAATATTCTGGATGAGAATTTAAAGCCAGAAACAAATGAATAATGTTTAGAATAAAGCAATATTTACAGCCTATGCTACAGCTTTAAAAAACTTTTTTATATTAAAGTATAGGTTCAAATCTATTATGGAAATTAATACCTTTTAAAATTCTGGAAAGTAGATACAACAAAAGTAGACAAAAATAGGAAAATATTATTTCATTATATTTGTTAGGAAAAACACCAGCAATGCTTCTTATTCATTAAAATGTTCAGTGTGAACAAACAGCAACCATGAAAATCAAATTAAAAGCAAAATAATAATAAAAGGAAAAATAATTTAAAAAGGGGCAGAGATTATGACAAGTACCAAATGAGTAATATGCTAATAGAATTGAATTCCTGTTCAAAATGTATTAAATAATGAAATTCTTCCTGCACTAGACAATTCAGCCACCATGATTTGTTTCACTTCATATTATACTGAGTAGAAGAAAAATGTATTACAATCTGAAAGTCACAATTAAATTTGTTATTTGCTCCTTCCTGTACTTTTCTCAAATCCTGGAAATAAGTTGAACTGCAATCTCCAAAATTCCAAGGCAACTTAGCCTAGATGGAAATTCTGGGCATTGTAGTCTCAAACATGTAAACACAGCTCTTTGCCATAGCTCAGTATTTATGTTTTTGTTGAGAAGATATTCCACATTTTGTATGGGCAGAGTTGAGATAAATACTTCAATTACATAATGTTTAAAACTCCTACAAGGGCAAACTGGAAAAACCTCAGAAGGGGTAGAAAAGGAGACAGCAAAATAAGGTTGTGAATGATGAAAATTTTCATTCCTCTTGTAATATTGTCTGTTTTCCTCTTGTCTTTTTATAAATATGAATAACAAAACTGAACAATGAAATAATATTTTACTCTCAAATAAAATGTGATAGTAAATTAGGTAACTATAAAATGTATAACCATCATGAATCCATAGTTTGTAGTTATGCATTGGTAAAGAAATATTCATTTAGATAATAAAAAAAACTCTAATGGACTGCATACTTCTGTTTATCATTTGACCTATATTAAACCATCATGGTTTCTTTTGAGTGTTTTTAAAATAGTCAAGCTTCAAATCCCCCAGATTAGGATTGCAAATGGCTTGTGTTCATTTTTTTTGTCTGTCACTGTTCTGTACGATCCATTAGCATACTTGTAAACACCGCGCCCTGATTGGCCAGGGCGCACGGCGACCTGATTGGCCGAGCGAGCCGCACCGATTGGCCCGCTGCGAATCCCCGCGATTGGTAAAAACTAATCGCGGGAGATTCAAAGCGGTGCCATTGGCTTCGCCCATTG